CCTTTAAACCGTGACTACCAAACCCAAGTCACTCTCTACCATGAGCCAGATACCTCTCCCCTGTCAAATCGTGGATGTTCCATCCACTGTGGGGGTTCAAAGACTCCCTACAATCCTGCCCATAGACTAAGGCTTAACCTGGGTCTCTTCAAAGGCAGAAAATATATTTGTTGTGTGAGCTGAAAAAGAGATTCCCTCTAATCCAGTAACAACTATGGCAAACTTTTTCTCAGCTTGAAATTTTACACAAGCATTTGAAACAGGTGACAAATGGATCTGAAAATCTGTGCCAGAGATGGGACATGTGCATCAGTGAGGATCCACCAAGCAGTGCTTACCATGTGATATCTTGTTGATATTGCGTTGTAAAAACCGAGGGGTTTGAATTTCCAGGGCTAATATTTAGCATACTCTGTGACTGCCATGGGGAGAAGGCTTACTAGAGGGTTGTGGGCTGAACTTGAAATGCTACATCCCTATTGAAAAGAAGAGGTCATCCTGAGGATACTGGATTTCTTTGTCTCCTCCTAAGGATCACAGATCCAGGGTACTAAGGGCAAGAAGTTTTCCTCTCCTGCTTGTAGTACTTCTGGCTCTTGGCCACGGTTGAAAGTGAAAGCAAAACCTCACGAACTTTCACCGGGGGTTAGAAAGAGCCTAGAAGCAATTTGGTAACAAGCAAAAAGGATCATAAATAAGATTTCTCCAGCTCAGTACAGTGCAGTGTTTCACTGCACCGTTGCAGTGCTCCCGGTAACTCCAAAGTTCAAATCCTACTTGGTTAAACAGAATGATCCCTGCACCGAACCCCTTGGAGGGGCTCTGGACCGCCTGGATTGCTCTCTCTGTCTCTCCAAAGCTCTTCCAACACAGACAGCACACTGGATTAAATATGCCAAACTCAGTTCCAGGTTTTGCAACGCTCCTTTATTTAAGATGGCATTTTCCTTTAATAGCTGGCAGAACCTGCTAGCTGGCTCATTCTTTATTTTTTTTTTTTTTTTATTTTTTGCTTTTAACCATATGAACATAATCTGTATCAACCGGAGATTATATGCATGGCAGATACAGAGTTTCGTCCTGGGGCTACTGAAGTGAATTGCAAAACCATTCAGTAACTGACTACAAGCAGAAATCAATTGTACCAGTTACTAAATGACTTAGTTTAAATGTAAAATTATTTGTTCAGACAGCAAGAAACTATTTACATGTGCTACTTTTGAAATTTACCTCTAGCTATGACCATATGGTAATTTAACTTTTAAATTGTATTTACCGCATTCTTATACTTTAATCAGTCAGTGCAAAGCTAAACTCTTCAGAAGTCCACATTTAAGCTTGAAACTGAAAACTTTTGCAGTTTCTCTCTGCCTCTGAGCAGTTGCCATCTTCAGATTATAACAGATCAATCAGTGCTCAACCCTTTGAAGTGTAACAGTTCAAATGTGTCTACTGCCTTGAATACCTTGCCGTATGTTTTACTCCAAGTGGAGGCTAGATTTTCTTACTTCAGAAGTAACGAGCTCTGCTCAATTAGCAGAGCAAGGGTTTTTTTGAGCATTGCACATAATTAGTTTCAAGGTCTCTAGTTTTAACAGCCATTTGTTAACAATCTTTTTATATAGCTGGCACGAAACATGTGATTCAAATACCAGTAGGCAGTCAAATAGCTGGAGTGCTTCAACTACACACATGATTCCAGAACTCAGCTAGGCTTTTCTGAGAAACAATTTGGCTTTACATTTCAGAAGCAATGACATGGCTACTTTAAGTAGAGGAAGAACCAAGGCTTGCAGGAATATAGGAGGAAATACTTCTTATTAGACCAGGTATTTTTGCAAGTGGCAAAGCAGCTTTGCAGCAAACCATCCCATCACTGGATTCCCTTATTTCTCTCTCTTTCCTCTCCCTACATACATACTAGTATGTATGTATAGGCCTGCTTATGTGTGTATGGACTTAAGACCCAACATACAGTGGTGCTGAATGTGTGTTCTCCTGCTCTCTGTTTTCTGACGTTTTGCTGTTAGTTTCGTTGTAGGTGGCCAGGTGCTATTCTAGTAATAGACAGCATATTGAATTCAGTGACTGCTGCATGACAAGGTAACATTTCCCTTTGTGGCCTGAAAAGAGAAAATTATGTGCCTCTATTTCAGTAGGTTTTGGTGTGAAGAACATGAGGTTTTCCTCCATGGTGACTGGAGCATTACTTTGTCTTTTTCAGACATTTGCTTGAGGGAAGAAAGGAGAGATCAGATCTATCTTGGAGAAGTGAGAATGGATTTTCTTCTCATAAAAGAAACCTGACAAATCAGTGTTAACTACACTTTGTGCATAACATTTCAATATGTGCATAAGAAAACAGATGAGAAAGCAAAGAGGTTTCTTCTCCATAGCAAACTCTAGGTTTCTGTACCAGATGAAAGCCAGTGGTCAGTGTTAGTGGCCTTCTAAGGAGAGTGAGGGCAGAAGGGGTCCTGAATGGGTGAGGACTGCCATCTCTTCCCACACTTCATGGTGTTGTCAAGCATGGCAGGCTATTAAAAGTGAATGGGAAATCATAGATACCATGTTATTTATTCCATAGAGTACATCTGCTGCACCGTATATTGTTATATGGCTGTGTATGTTACTGTCATGAGATATTGACAGTAAATCCCTTGATTAGAAAATGGCATTTTATCATCTCTTCATAATTTACCATTTTAAAACGCTGCATTTTTGGGTGAGCATTATGTGGGGAGCTAGTTAAGCTCAAAGGGTGAACGGTGGGACTTGTGACACAGCAGGGACATATACCACAGTCCTGGATAATTAATGCAGATGCCTCTCCCCTGCCCCAACGTCAGATTTCCTGATGGCAGCCCTGGGCCCTGTTTCGTGGCAGGAGTGGGCTATCGCTGGGCTGCCCCCAACCTGTGATGAAGGAGAAGGACAGAAGGCTGAGAGACATCAGTGAGGAAGGCTGTGCAGACCCTGGTCCACAGGGGGGGATTGGAGGTTCGGGGGTACAGCCTGCCAAAGCCCAGCTGGGCTGCCAGGTTTGGTTTTGAGTTTGTTGGGGCCACGTCAGCAGTGCTGCTGCCCCCCCTTCACGCTGCCGAGCTCACCCACGTGCGATACATCTGCCCCGGAGAATAGTTGGGCCCTTAGCTGCCCGTTTCAGGACTACAGGAGATTGTAGATTTTGTTTGGTAGAGTAACTTAGGATTTCAAATATTGCCTGGAGTCTACTGCAAGGCGATTTCAACCTTTAAATCTCACACACGTTCTTTTGGCTTTTGTGAACATCACAATCCATCCTTCCCCTCATCCCCCCTCCCAGTAACTGTCACCATGTTAATTTACATGAACAAAAAGTCCCAATTCTACCTGTCAGACATGTCTTCAATATTGACTTTGTTTCCAGAGCTGCCGGGCACTTGAGGGTTTCAGCACCTCGGTGTCTCTGGATACCAGGCGCTTTCTGTGCCCAGGCACACATGTTGCCATCTACCTTTATGTGCCCAAGCTTCAAAACTTTGGTGGAAATGAATACCAACACACCACAATGAACGGTCTCCCATGCTGGGGAAAGCTCTGGGGAGCTGACTGCCAAAATGTCATCAGCTGCTTTAAAGGGAACATTTGAGTGATGGCCCTGCTTCTGGTGGAGTTTCCTTCTGTCCTGGATATAAACATGCTGTCCTAGCCGGAGTTAACTGTTATTTTTAGCTATGACAAAAGTGCATCTGAATAGGCTGTTCTGTCGCACTCGGAAAATACCAGATCACTCGAAGTGCCAAATATGCTGGAGGAAAAAGCATTCCTGGAGAGGGCTTGCCCCAGACAGTCTGCATGAACTCTTCATGGCTTCCACCCTGACCCAGCCCCCCTTTCTCCCAGACACACACACACACACGCACACACAGAGCAGCTTGGAACTGCACAAGCTGTTGGGGAACCATGCCCAGTGTATCTTTTTTCAAAAACAAATTCAAAGTTTGCCCAGTATTCACCTAACTGAATCTAAGCTGCTTTGCCAGGCTGTGGTATTTCTGTGTTTGGTTATAAGCAGGAGGTTTTATTTAAATGGTAAAAAGCATTAATGGGGCGACTGTTTTTCTGTTTTCTGACAAAGCCATGGTCACACACCTTTTATACGTGGCTGAGTAGGTGATCTGAACGTGGCCTTTCCTTAAGCAAAAGTTATTGGGAGTTGTCACTGACACAGGAAAGGGCGCGTATGGGAGGGGACGGGCACACTGCAGCCATCAGAGTGATGATTTGGAGAAGGCAGGTCTCAGGTGAGTTTGGAAGAGGGATAGGTGATGCACCAGAGTGGGGAAAGCCAGTTCCACAGCACCAAAATGCTTTCCCCGCCAGCTGGACGCCGTGGGGGACTGTTTGGCACAGACAGTGAGGACCAGCACTGGAGCGGTGTGGATGCGGTGGATGGAGCAGCCTGGATCCCGTGGGTCGGCATGGGTGCTGTGGGTGCTGCGGAGCAGCCTGGATGCCGTGGAGCCGGCTGGGACGTCCCCACTCCCCGGGTGAGCGCGGCCCACAGGGAGGCTGCTCCTGGCGCGACCGGCCGTGGAAGGGGGATGCCCGCGGGGACACACACACACACACACACGGAGGAGAGCCCCTGGCACCAGGCGGCAGGGCAGCCTGGCACGTCTCTCCCGCGAGTGACAGGGGCGACTCGCCGCACCCGGGGCTCCGCAGCACAGCCTCGCGTGGGTGCTGCCGTGCCGTGCCGTGCCGTGCCGTGCCGTGCCGTGCCGTGCCGTGCCTCCCTCCCCGGTGTGCGGGGGCCACCCCGGGCAGAGCCCACCCCGCCGACGGGCTGAGGTTGGCGGCGGGGTGACAGCGCGGCAAGGAGCATGCGTGCGGTGCGGGGGGTGGGGTGGGGGGAAGGAGGAGGAGGAGGAGGAGGAGGAGGAAGAGGAGGAGGAGGGATGGCGCGGGGAGGCGGCCGCTGTTTATTTGCAGCCGGGCAGGCTGCGGCTCGGCAGAACGCGAGTGGCCGGCGGCGGTCCCGCTGCCCGCCCCGCACCATGCGGGCGCCGGAGCCGGAGCCGGGGCGACCAGCCCGGCGCCCCGCGCCATGGTGACGGGCTCGGCGCTGGGCTCCCGCAGCCGGGACCGAGCCGCGCCGCCCCGCTGCCCGTCCCCGGCGGCGGGGGGGGGACGCGGCGGGGCGGCGGCGGCGGCGGCGGTGCTGGCGGGGCTGTGCGCCCTGTGCTACGGCAACTCCCTGCGGGGCGAGTTCGTGCACGACGACGTCTGGGCCATCGTGAACAACCCCGACGTGCGGGCGGCCGCCCCCGTGGCCGCCGCTTTCGCCAACGACTTCTGGGGCAAGCGGATGGCCGAGAACACGAGCCACAAGTCCTACCGACCCCTCTGCGTCCTCACCTTCAAGTAAGAGCCCGGCGCCGCGGCGGGGCGGGCGGCTCCGTTCCCCCTCCGCACCCCGACCCCGCTCCCGGAGCCGTGCCCGGAGGAGGGGGGAGCACCCCTTCTCCCCTCCCCGGCACCGTCTCCTCCGGTCCCGCGTCCTCGGCTTCGTGATTCAGCATTTCTGCCCGGAGCGGCATGGGACGGGGGGTGCCCGGGGGGCAAGGGGAGGGGGGGGGGGGGATGTCCCGCCGCCCGGCCCGGTGGAAGTTATCGGGGGAAGAGGGGTGACGAGGAGCCGCGCCGGGGGGAGCCGCTCGCCCTCCCGCCAAGCGTGGGAGCAGGTGCCGCCTCTCGCCCGGGCTGCCGGGGGAGCGAGGGGGGGGGAAACCGGGGCGTTTCGGAAAGCTCCTTGGACCGAGAAGGGTGTTCAAATTGAAATCCCCGTCAGTTCCTCCGCTGCTTTATCTCCACTACTTTTCTCCGCGATTGAATGATCGTGCCAGAACTTCCCCGGTGCTGTTTTGAAACAGTTTACCTTCTTTTTTAACGCTAAGCGAGGGGGGGGGGGTGGGGTCTGCCTCGGGGCTGCGGCGGCTGCGAGCCCCTCCTGTCCGCCAGCCTCGGCTCTTTCAGATATTCCCCGTGTACCGGGCAAAGCCTTTGAGGAGGAGTTTCGGTTTTCCGGGAATAAAAGAGAAGTTGAGCAGCGGCAAAGTAACTGACAGTTGCCATCGCTGATCCTAGAATGAAAAACCCAGGCGCCTCTCTTGCTCCAGGGAGAATAATTCGTCGGAGATCAGCTTAGTTACAATTCATCCAGCCGGTCATACTTTCCATTGGCTTGTTCTCTTTTTAATTTATTCTGATGAAAGATAAATGATGGTGAATGTTTACCACGGTCTAGTATTTGAAAATGACACGGGCGTTTGTAGGGAACTGTGCTGAAGAGCTGGTGTAGCTGGGTGACGTTTAGCACTGGGGTCCTGTTTGTAGGTGATGGGTAGCTGCTCATTACAGAGCTATAAGGAGCAAACTATAAGGGCAGTAGTAAGTATGCCAGGAGGAGGTGTTGCTGGAACCTGGTTGACTCTGCTAATTGAGTAACTATTCGTTAAAATGCCTGATTTATAAATAGCGTTTCACGAACTCTGTATAAATTGTGTGTTCCATGCGAGGCAAGGGGAGTTTTGGGGGACGCAGCATCCTTTCAGCACTGCCGCAGAGCACCTGCCCCTTCGGTCGCAAGGGTGGGCTTGGAGCCCAGAGCCGTTGGCAGTGGCCGGCTGGGGGAGCCGGGCTGGGTGGGCACAGGGTGGCAGGTCCCCGATAAAGCAAAACTGAACAGCACAGACCCTTGTAAACTGGATTGCTTGGGACAGGTTTTGTACCTCCTGCTCGAAAGGGCTCTCAGCAGGTTTCTGCAGAGAGCGAAGGGGGTGTAGGCAGCCACGGGCAGGGCTGGCTTTGCGCACACAGAGCGCCTTCTCCATCGGGTGTCCAGCCAAACCGCTGCAGTTTAGGGAGCTGTCTGATTAAGCCATTCCTCCAGCAGTACATCTGGGGGACGTTTGAGGGGTGAGTGAACCTGCACGTATCATCACTGCCCGCGCTGCATGGGCTATTGGTGCTGGACTCGGCCTCCTAGATCAGGTTGCAGGATTGATGTTACGTTATGCTAATTAGCCAAAGAATCTTAAACTTTAATAACGGAATGGAAACTAAATGCTTTAGTTCCCATTTGTGTGTCTTGACTGAGCTGGTTTTGCCTTTGCTATTGTGTGTGTTCTAAAAAAAAAAAAAAAAAAAAAAAAAATGAAGTACTGTCTCCATCTAGTCCTTTTTGGAAATTAGACTGTGAGACTAATTTTGTGAGTAAGATTTCATCCTCAAGCACTTATAATAACCATACAGCTAAGACATAGGGTCAAAGGCAGAGTCATTTGTTCATTGCTTGGCGTTGCATTTGGAATAGGGAAGGAATCTTTTATCTTCCCTGGCTGCAGAGGAAGATTATTTCCACTGCATCCCAAATATCCTTCCATCACCTCCAGTTCCCACATTCTTCCCATTTCGCTTTTACCAGTAGGGTGTCAGAGGAAGATCTTAGGATCTGGGTGGAGTGGGTCCTCCAAACCCAGCACTTCCAAGGAGGCTGCAGGGAGCTTTTGCCAAGCGATGCTGAGCTGTTCTCTGCCTGCCTGAGCCATCCACCCCTGCCTTGCCCAGCAGGAGGTCTCTGGCTGCACTCTGTCCTCCTGCAGAAGGAAAAAGGTTTTACCCCGATGCTTGTAAAATGCTTGACAGAAATGGACTTTTAACAGAATGGAAATTAATGTTATTTGTTAATACTTCTGTTAGAATTTAATGCATCCACTTAGGATACTTGAGAAAACTGTGTGACGTGTGCTTTGCAGGATCTTGCTGAGGAAGGGAAGGGGGGACCAAAGTATTCTGGCCTCTTTTTATTTATTTTTTTTTATCTACTTGTTTTAGTTTATTTCTTTTCTTGTGCTAATTTTGTCAAATCCAAGGCATTTTAACAGTAGCAGGATTCTTTTTACCTGCCTAGTGGCTCTGCTTCTGTTGCATGGAACTTTCATCTGGAAAGGCTTGTTTTGAGTCTTGCTGTACTAAGATTAAAAATCTGGGAGATTTCCAAACTGCATGTACAGAACAGATGTGAAGGGTGGGCTGAAATTTGTATCTACAGATCCATCAAGCTACAGAAACTTGGTCTTAGTCCCTTTTCCGTCCTTCGTGGCTGTGAAAGTAAGAGGAAGGACTCATGGTGCCCTGTGGACTTTTCAATTGGCTGAACGTATCCTACATATATGCTACATATTCCTGAAATGATCTCCATTAAAATAATTTATCACCCATCTGTCAGAAGAATCTTAAGCAGACATTGCTGAAATTCTGTAACAGTAGTTCAGTGTCCCTGATGAATTGGAAATCTTAAGTGACAGTCCTCATTTCAGCAGACTAATGCTCTGGAGCCAAACAGTGAAAGGAGCTCAAGTATTTGACATTATTCACACTGGATCTGTCAGTATGAATGATCAGAGAAAAATAAGAGTGGCCAGTGTTACTGGAGCTATTAAGCAAAACTTAAAATATTCATAAAATTGCTGCATTGTTTTGTGTGGCTTAACATCAGAAGGGGAAAAAAAATCTTGCACATGGACTGCTGAATTAAATAATGTTTGCTTTGTGTCTTTGAACTTCTCTCACCTTTTCTCTTGACTTCAGTAAAGTGAAGGAGTGTTAAAACTGGTTGGTTCAGAAACATTCCTATTACACATGGGTAACTGTTAGGTGACAAGTCTAGTACAACTCATCTGCATAGGAGTTGAGATGGTAGGCAATGATTTTGCTTAGTCCTTGGGAAAAACTTACTTCATGATCTCTTCTCCAGTTGCTGTCACTCAGAGATGCTTACCTGCAGCAGCTATTTTCTTCTCCAGTAAGTGATTCACTATTTTTCTTTCTAAAGAAGGTGGCTTTTTGGACTCAGGATATACTATTTCTTGGTGTCTTCCCCATAAAATGTTAAGATGAAGGATGGGGGAGGAAAAAAAAAAAAAAAAAAAGAACTGCCAGTTCTGTAATTCACTCAGGATTTTATATTTAAACTGGGTGCTCTCTGTCTTACACCTTGTCTCCACTAACAGAAGTTCAGTGAATCATTTATTCCCTCAGTAGCACTTAAGTTATGCCTTGGTTCCAGTGGTTTTTCAAAAACGTTTCTCAACTGTTGAAGCAGAAGGTGCAATCCTCAGCGCTGTCTCCCTCCCCTCTTTCTCTTTTTTGTCTGCCAAATCCCCATTTAGATAGATTTTTTTTTTTTTCAGCCCAGAAACAAACAGGTGATGGAGGTTTGATGTAGTCAGCAACACAGCAGACTTAGTCTGAAGGTGTGCCGTGGTAGGGAATGGTGAGAATGAAGCCTTTTGTAAAACCCACATGCCAGGATTTAAAGACTCTGAGATCAGCCTCCTGGTGTTGCAGGGGGTGAGGCAGCGAAGGCCCTGCCTGCTCAGCCGCTTCGGTAGCGGGATGGAGGGCACTGCCAAGGCAGATGCTGGTGAGGGAGGTGCCTCCAGTGGCAGCTCACCGGGGACAAAAGACTGGGCGAAAATGAAAAAGTAGTGACAGGCGTGGGCCACATAGCCACGACAGAGACTCTGGAGGGTGACACTTGGACAGAGAGATACCTGGCCGTCCTCGAAGGAGGTGGAAGTGACGGTTCACTGGGAATGTGCTTGGCTCTGTGGGCAGGGTGTAAGACTGGCCCCTCCAGCTGCTGCTGGGTGGCTCTGGTGGCCCCGGGGGGGGAGAAGCTGGGGGAGACAAGCTGTAAAGGGGAGCACGGCTCTCCCACCAGGAAACACACAGACACACAACTTGTGCACAGTGCCATCCTACTAGTCCTCTGGCTGGAAGAAAAAAATGGGGAAAAAGATAAATGAGAAAGTCCAGGCTGTGCTCAGGTGCTGACTGCAGAAGGAGTGACCCTCAGGTCTGCCCGCTGAGGCTGCTAGCCGGTGATAGCTCGGGGACATACATGCCGAGGGGGTAAATGGGACCTGTCAGCAGTGGTTCAGTATTCAGTGTGGGCACCTAGAGCCTAATGTAAGACTACCAGTGGCTTCAGATCAAAGCCTTAAGTGACTGTGAGCTTGGGTTAGATGTAAATAGATAGCTAGAGAAAGAATTAATTCAATAATTCACTGCCAACCTTCAGATCTATCTAGTTGCTTACAGCTGATCCTTTTGTTTTTTCAGCTGTATCAGTGGCATGACTTTCAAGGACAGGGAGCTTAAGAAAACCAAAACAACCTAGGGAAGAAAAAAGGACCTTAGATTTTATTTGTTCTTGATTTAATGCTCTATTACAGTTTGACATCGCAGAGTAATATAGTGGAGCTATAATGCACCAGGTTAAATACACAGTGCACAAGTATTTTCTTCACTCTGTACATCTATATTAGGGCAGTATCACCATGTTTAGGATTGTGTCC